ATATGTGATGGGGTGTGAACCGACAGTCTGTAGAGTTTTCCATCTGGTGTGGGTGAGTGATAGTCTACTTTGATTTTGGTTAAGGTAGATTATCATTTACAGTGTACAGACTGTTGAGGGTTCAGCCTCCCGATGAGTCGGTGAAACTCCGACGAAACAGTTTGTCACAGCCCCTCGTTTGTTGTCCTCTTCTCTCTCTCTGCCTACGGTTTTACCGGTTTTACCGGGCAGGAATGATCGTGGGGACGGAGACCATGCTCCGGGGGAACGAGTCGTCATGGAAGCTGGAGACACAGAGTGTTGAGAAACTACTACATCAGTTGAAGGACGAGAAGAACCTCATCATCGCAGAGGTTGTGCATGATGATTGTGGCGCGGTTGACGTCATATTGCGGCGAATGGACATTGACTCACAAAAGTGTATGTGGCATAAGGCGAAGACTTTGGTCAAATGCTTGCGAGAGGCTGTGCGCGGCACGAAGACTGTCAAACCAGCTGCAGTCGGGGCTTGCGAGCATGTGCGCGAGATGAAGTGTTTCACAAAGAAGGAGCTCAAACTTTGACTCGAATCGAAATGTGTACACGTGGCAGGGGTATCCACGAGAAAAAAAGATGAACTTGTTGAGATTGTTTGGGGCGTGCTCTTCCCCGATGAAGCAGGGAAAGCGTTGCCAGATGATGTCGTCGAGATCGACGCGTTGCAAACTCTACATTGCAATGCGGCGGAGGAGGCAAAGGAGTGGTTGTACGACGCTTGCAGGCTGCGCGAGCGTGCAAAGGATGACGATGGCGATGTGTTGGCCACGCATGTGCAACACCTCGCCGATCATTGGGCCGAGGATCACTCCTGTTGTGATAAGGAGTTGTCCAACCTGTGCAAAGCGGCCGGGGGTCCGGACAGGGATCCATTGTACGAGGCGGGGGGGCGTGTTCATTTCGCCATCGCGCGCTGTCTTGAATAGTTCGTTTCAAATACGAAGATGGCGTACTACACACGTGCGAGGATGACCTTCAACAACGAGTGCTTCCACTCCATGATCAACAAGTATGCAACGAAACGCCTGAACTTCCCCAAGTCGTATGAGGCTCGCGTGTGTTGCACCGCTTTGGAGTGGAATAAAAACAAATGAATCAGGCGATTGCGCACAGTCTTCCGCAAACCGACAAGCGTAACCCATTGACGCTGTTCCGCACGACAACATATATACGCCGCACGGGAGGCGTCGTGGTGCTTCGACATTGCAACTGCAGTTTTTGGCAGCCCTCGGGTCAGAGATTGGGCACGTAGCATGTTGCAGCAATCGGACGTCGACGACCCAGTTATTGAGCATTATGACGAGGAAGCCGATTATGGACTCCCTGATGCCGTTGAGAGTGTGGTGGAGGGTGTTGTGGCCGAAGGTGAAAATGTTTTCGTTGAGGCGGGAAGCGAAAGTGCTTCAGATGACGAAAAGTCGTCTTCCGACTCCTACACCGATGGTGCCGCTCTCCGCCTCGACTTTGACGGCGCCGTTTTTTCGCAGGAGGTGTCCGTTGCGCAGAAGTGATATTGTCACGTACTACATCGATGCCCATTGTCGTCGTCATAATCATTAGAATGTTATGTCCTCGATTTGAACTGGTTGTGATAACTGGTGGTGAGAACAGGTTGTGAGAACTGGTTGTAATTTTGAACTGGTTGTGATAACTGGTTGTTCGAAATGGTTGTTCGAACTGGTTGTTCGAACTGGTTGTTCGAACTGGTTGTTCGAACATGTTGTAATTTTGAACTGGTTGTGATAACAGATTGTGATAACTGGTTGTTCGAACTGGTTGTAATTTTGAACTTTGTGAGAAGTGGTTGAAATTTTTCAACTAGTTGTGAGAGATGCTTTTCATGTATACTAATTGTATATATGTTTTGTGTACACTTTGTGATAACCGGTTCTGAATATATATATATATATATATATATATATATATATATATATATATGTTTGAACAATTGAGAGAGATAGAGATAGATAGATAGATAGATAGATAGAGAGAGAGAGAGAGAGAGAAATATCATATGTAGATATGTGGCCATGTGGCAAAATTGATAAATGCAAAACAATACGAACATTTTTCCCTTCATCTCCGGCCTCTCTCTCTCTCTCTCTTATGTTACTGGAGTCTCGACAAACTGATTCATCCTGTCGTCCAATCCCACGTATGTCTCTGTAGTCTCGACCAACGAGACTACAATGAATGTGAACCGCTTGCGAGAGGCATGCATCGCCCCTCTGCAAGCTACTCGGCGCCTGCGACTCCCTGTACCCTTGTTGTCGTCGGGTGCATGAGCCCTTTCGCAACGGTCCATTTCGGAGTTGTGGTGCGGATAATCTGCAAGCATTGCTGCGAAAGTCAACGCCGAGGCCCACAACAAGGAACGAACTTGGCCGATAAATCCTCGTCATTGCAAACAAAATATGGCGCACTTACAACAAGCCGCCACACACCGTCCCGATAAACAGTGCCGTAGTGTGTTTCCAGTATACGAAACACAAGCGGGTAGACAATATCATACATTTTGTCTCCTTCGGCAGGATTCAGAACGAGGCTATTGAAGTACGAAGTGGGTCTGGACATGAGCACACGAACGTGGTCGATGGCATGATGATGGATGTAAGTCTCTGTTGTGAGTCTTATGACTCGTTCGTCTTCCACGACGACAAAAAAATGCCGATCCTCCATTTTGTGCCTGTCTTTGTACTCCAACACCTGTTCGACAGGCTCTGTAACCGAGTTTTGCGACTCGTAATAATATACGTTCTCGCCCGTACGGAGTTTCGTGGAATGGTAGCATTGGAAAATCATTGGCGCCAACCGCTTAGTCGTTGCTTGCGAATGGGGAGTCGAGGAAGCTGCGGAACACACAAAGCTTCACCGTAAGCAACAGAGCAACGATTTRCATAATACAAAGGTGAGGAACACAAGGCGTGTCTTCTTCATATGCACACACACACAAAACGAGGTGTGACTGTCGCTTCCATTTCCGGTGATTAGTCTATATATAACTGTTGCGCACACACACACACACACACACGCAACCGGCAGACGACGTACGATAATAACAACAATATAAATCACAGATCTGTATGTCACATCATATGCATGTCAGAGAGAGAGAGAGAGAGAGAGAGAGAGAGAGAGAGAGAGAGAGAGAGAGA